CATCAAAACTACAGTAAAAACAGTAATATTGTATAATATTACAATTAAAAATAACTGTTTTCTATTTGAATATATTTTAAAATGTAATTTATTTCTTTGTTGGCAAAGCTGAATTTTTAGTAGCCATTAGTCCAGTCCTCAGTGTCACATGATCTTTCAGAAATCATTCTATGAATCTGATTTGATACTCAAGAAACATCTTATTATTATCAGTGTTGAAAAGAGTTGTGCTGCTTAATATTTTATTGAAAACCGTGATACATTTTAATGCAATTTAATGCATTCTTAATGAATAAAGTATTAATTTCTTTGAAAATACTCTAATTGACCCCAAATTTTTTAACGGTAAGGTATATGTATGCACAAAAAGGGACTAGGGATGTCCCAAGCCGATCTCAAGGATCGGGATCGGGGGCCAACAAAGCATTTTTTAATGCTCTCCTCAGCCCGATCTTTATTTTACGTCAGTTGTCATGCCGGTGTTGTGCCCAATTTCGACCCCCTGCCAAATTATTACAATTGCGTCTTGATTCAGACTTGAATGACAGACTAGCATTTTGACACCGTGAGCTACATGATTTCTAACCTTGTCTCCATATAAAATACAAGAGGTTTATATCAGTAGTCCCATATTCATAATTGTGACATGCATGCAGTGTGTGCATATAAACACAAAATCGAAGACACTGATCGGGACATCCCTAAAAGGGACATATCAAATAATAAGATGGTTTGAAATAATTATTCATTTTATTTAAATTCAGATTTTCAGTCAAATTGTTATGCTGATAATATAATTGAATATATTTAATATTAAATAAGAAAAATACAAAATATTAAATAAAATCTCAAACTTGTGGACCCCACTGTATATAATCTGAACTGGCTTTCTTACAGTTAAACTTGCTCGTTTATCTGATGGTTTGAGACGAAAGTGTGGTGTGACTTTTCCTTCCTTTTGCAGAGGGTGGAGGAGCTGGAGAAAGAGAACACGCTCTTGAAGAAGGAGAAAGAAGAGGTGAACCGCAGAATCCAGAACCCCACTCAGGGTGAGTTTCATGCTTCAGAGTCACATGCACACTCAGAGCATTTGGAGGAAGGAGTATGAGGAAAGGATGTGTGGCTTGCCTGGAGGGCTGGGCTGGTTTTGTTTGACGCACAAGAGGGTCTGTGTGCAGAAGTGGGATGAGAGAGACAGAAACTGCATTGGATTTCAGTGGAGGAATGTGAAACTGCTTCTTTACCTGCACAACTAAAAGCTGACCATTGTATCAAGCTGGTTCACATGCGAGAATGCTATTTGAAACCCAAGGTTTGGTCTCAATACGCTTTCTATTTGTTAAATGTCGCTTTAGCGAGTTTGTTCTGTGCTTATTTTCCTCAGTGCTGTTCTGCTGTCAAGGCTGTTTAAGTTGTTTTAAAACGCTATTCAAAGGACTGTTATGAATGGAGTGATTGTTTTGACAAATGACAACTTTCATCAGTTTTTGTTAACAGTGTCTTTGGTAGGAAACAGAATTTTTTCTTTTTTGGTCTGTTTTTTTTCTGGTCTTTATTTCGGCCAATCTAAACTGTCTGTTATTTTACTAAGGGTAAAGGTGACCCTCACATCATTCCAAATGACTTCCTTTTCATTTGCTGACCACAAAAAAAACTTTTTGTCCATACAGTGTAAGTCTATGGAGTCCAGTCAGTGTTGTTTTGGACCCCATTGATTTTGTATTGTATTGACAAAAACAGTTCTTCAGAATACCTTCTTTTGTGTTTCACAAAATAAAATAAGTCACACAGGTTTGAAATGACATGAGGGTGCGTAAATGGTGACTGGATTTTCGTTTTTGGGTGAACTATCCCTTTAAAGAAAAGTCTTGTGCAATTCAAGTGAATAGGACAGTTAATGCTGGAGGCACAATCAAGCTTGCATGTGATATTGATAAATCAGATAAAATTCACAATAACCAACCGTTTTAACATATGAAATACCCTTTTGTTTTGTAATTTCTATAACAGTTAAATAAAACAAAAATAAATTGGAGGAACATTTACAAAAAATTTAAATACAGAATAAGCCTTAGATGACGGACCATATTTTTCTAGTATGTCTGTAATAAGCTTCACTCATTCTTAAAGTCAGTGTTTCAAATAAAAGGGTGAAAGGAAACTTGTCACAGGTTTATAATACCGTTATCTTAGTATGATAATTATCTCCTAATTATGGATGGCTGCTTCATCAAACTATCAGGCCATACATCTGATAGCAGTTTCAGAATCTGTTCAAAGGGTGTGATTAGAGGCTTTCACACTGTACATACAACTTTGAGTACAGTGGAGTAGAGTTTGCTTTAAGTTGGCAATGATGTTTCGATTATAATATGCATTGTGAATGCAGAGTACAAGAGAAGGTGCTTATTTTATTTCTATTGAGATTACAGAATCAAGATCATATTGTAACCTACACATAGATGCTCAAAGGTCTTCCATCAGAGTAATAAAGATTTTTTTATTGCTCGATAAAATATCAATCAAGCCGAAGATCAATAAAAGATTGTTAAAAGTGTTATCATCACTGTCACATTGCATAATATTCAAGTGGACTCGGCAACACAAAACCTGTAGTGTGAATGTAAAATGAACTGAGACCTCACAAGTAAAATGGATCAAAAGAGGTTTCAGTTTTTCATACCTTTTAGATACTGAATGAAAAGCCCTAATTAGAGCTAGATTATGAGAAAGATACGTTTTTCACACACATGATACCGAAATATTCAGCTTGTGAAAGTTGATACAGGTGAATGGGAGCAGCATGTCATCTGGTTCATTGCTTTATTCCTGTGTGTGAATGCCTTTTTGTCTCTCAGGTCAGGGCAGCGATGCGTCTCAGAAAGAGACCCGTTTGCAAGTTGAACTGGATGAGGAGAGGCAACGATATCAGAACCTGGTGAAAGAATATTCCAGACTGGAGCAGAGATACGAAAATCTGCAGGAGGACTTGTCCTCCATGAAGGTAGTAACGCTTTGACAATAAGTCTGAAATTCTGGAATTTGCTTCTCTTTTTTTTGGTTGTTTTTAACGTCTTTATGGTTTTCCACATTCTAGTTCCATCCTGGCCATCGGAGGAACCCCTCTAACCAGAGCAGTCTGGGCTCGGACTCCAACTACACCTCCATCAGTATGTCAGAGGTGGGAGACACTGATGACACCATCCAGCAGGTGGAGGTAAAGTTATTTCACTGAATCTGCCAACAAACACCAGCAGACTTTGAAAAGGGTATAAAGGCACTTCAGAATGAGCATTAATGTGGTTTGTCTCCCTGCAGGAGATGGGCATAGAGAAGGCTGCCATGGACCTCAGCGTTTTCATGAAGTTACAGAAACGTGTACGAGAGCTGGAGCAGGAAAGAAAGAGGCTACAGACCAATCTAGAGAAAGTAGAGGAACTGAGCAAACGCAAGGCATGTTTATTTGTCATGTCTTCTCTGCTTTCATACATTTCTCACAGTTGCCACAAAACAAAAGAAAACAAAAAATAGAAATTACAAAATGTTTAACAAAACAAAAAACTTTTTTTTTTTAAATAAAACCATAAATATATAAAACAAAAACAATTTTAAAATAAAAGTAATACAAAATAATTACTCTCTATATTAGCAATATATTTTAAGACATTTAAAAATTCAGTCTCAAGCTGTGACTTAAACTAAAGTCTATTGGCCTTAACTTGAAATATGACAACAAAGGAAAGAAAACTGACTGCTTAATCATTTGATAGGGTGAATGTATGTGTTAATACAAATTATCTTAAATAATAAAGCTTTGTTGATTGTTATGTGTTGATATTTTTCTTTTTATGCTCTCATTACGTTTGTAGAAACAGAAGTTAACCTGAATGACTGCTAAACATTTCCTACTTTTTGGCCATAGGTTACAACATCATAAACACCAGTTATCTTTTCTGATGGTCCCTCATCTGGACTTGCAAAAGCATGGTCCTCTGCTTTATCAGTCAGCTTATGTTTAAATTTTTTTTTTCATTCATTCTTTTATCTTATAGGGAAATGAGCCCAAGAGCTCCACGTCAGAGGAGGATATAAATGCAGACCTGGCTTACAACAGTCTGAAGGTAAGAGTCAGACCAGCTCAGTGTAATAGCCATGCAGCTCTGCCTCCAGTCAAATGTCTGTCTTGGTGCTCATTGATTTGTTCTGCACTGGGGCCGCTCTGCTGCTGCTGCTGGTTGTCCTGCCTGTTAAACTCTGGGTGAGTGGAATGATGCAGAAATTTAAGACCAGGGCATTTTTAGAGAGTTGAACTATGGCAGGAAGTCACATGGCAGGAATGGCAGGAAGACTTTTATTATTGCTCATCTGTTTGCATAAATCAACTCCATTCTTCATTTTGTTAATTAAACACTTTAACTTTCCAACAAATCTTGAAAAGTGGCTTTGTATAGACATTGAATTTGATGCAAATGAAAAGCAAGGCTGTGTGGAATAGACTGATGTTCAATAGGATGTACTGTTTTAAGATCAAGTTGTTCTTAATAGCTCTCTCTTTTGATCTGATATTGAGAAGTCAATCAACACACACAGAAGCAGAGACAGGAAAGCGATCAAAATGATTTTTTCAGTGCTCTGTCTAACTTTGTCTGCCCAGAAATATTATAATAAGCAATGAAAAGCTATTTATTAAGCTAAAGCAATGAAATATTTCTGCTTCTCAACATTGTCTTGTGACCGTAAAGACTTTGAAACAAGTTCTTATGTCTGAATTTTCTCACTCTCTAATAGTGCTGTCAAAAAAAAAATCGAATTTCGAATATTCGTCGAATTTAAAATTAAAATCCACATTCGAATGCAAAACCGTTGCATTCGAATTTTAGGTGTGCGTTAAGGAGGCAGCCTTATCAGTGGCGCACGAGATGCGATGACGATGTAAGTGTCATTGCATTTTAATGTTTTCGTTAGCCTATCCAGCTGAAGCCACTAGATGCGGTGCTGCTGCGTTCGTGCGTTGTTAATTACAAATATTGCGGGAAAAGAGAACATCAATGCGGAGATCTTGTTTTTCGTCAAAACTGAAACCAAGCCGTTCACACAGAACGCATATTTCGCGCATTTTCTAGAGGGACATCTATCACCGTTGCACTCGCGTCTCGCACAAAAGAGCCGCATGTTTAGAAAGCCATGTAAAATTAATGCAAGTTCAACTTTGAAAAAACATATTTCGAGGCGGGGTTTTTTCCCCATCCCACTGCATCTCAAGTTTTTAAATGAAAAATATACTCTGTGTGATTGGCTTTCGACCCTTTGTATTAAACTATGAATACATACATGATGCTGTTTTGTTTATAGTTGTTTAAGCAACTTAATTAATTATAATTGGTTTGTAAACATTATTTTAAGCATTATGCACTTTTTTCACTGATAGTCATGTTATGCTTTGAATAAACGTGCATTAGTAATATTTTGCTCGATGCACCCTCTTGTGGCCTCAGAAGAGAAGCCAAAAGTTTTTCTTCACCCTAACTGAAATTATGCATTTTAAATTCGAATATAATTCGAATTTTGATAATATTTAAGTACAAAATTCGAATTTAGTTTTTCAGCCATTTTGACACCCCTACTCTCTAATTTGCTTTGAAAATGATATAGCATAAAAACTCAAGATTAAATAGTGCAAACAAACAATATCAAATGAAAAGTAGTACAACGGTAAAAAATTATGAATTTAATATTAAGAAATGCATAAATGCAAATATATTTACTCATTCATTCAAATACTAAACTATAGAATGCTAGATTTTATATTATTATTCTTTAAATTGAAATTCTGAATATAATAATACATTATAAATTCTACATAAATAGATGTACAACAATCTTGGTCTAGTCTTGAAGCCGCACACAGGCAGATGGCTAATAAGAAATCAAATTTAATCCTTTGTGTCCTAAAGTTTTTTTTTTTTGTCAGATCTAATTTTTTCCATCATGTGATTGTGATCTTCCTCGGACACCTCACAAGCCCTTAACACTTTAATATCAGCAATCAGTCATTTATCTGAGTACGAGGGCGTGTTGAAACCCCAACGGCAGACTCGGTTTAACAGCTTTGACCAGAGAACAAAGTACAAGAATGAAGACACCAGAGCCAAAAGTTGACCTGCTGGCTGTGCAGCTGAATATGGAGCTCAAGGCAGTAGAATTGCGTAACTGATTTGTTTGTTTTCTTAAAGCGCCCCAACATTGCACGTTGAGCTTATATAATAATTGCTGATGATTCTTGTTCTGTAGTGCTCAAACGCTCTGTGTCTGATCAAAGCTTTAGCTATGGGTGTTAGATTTCCTTGGATAAAATTACTGCAGTCAGCATTGCTTGTTTTTTGTGAGTCCCTCTCTTTCTGTTTCAAAGTTTCTTTCTCTCACACAAACAAACATTCGTTCAGGCTTATTTACAACTTTTTGCCTACGGTCACTTTTGATGGTTTTTAATAAAAATAAATCCTTTAAGTGTTACAAAATACAGACTATTTACCCTCTTTCAGACTGTGTTCATAAAATGTGTTCTGTTTACAGCGGCAAGAGCTCGAGACTGAGAATAAGAAGTTGAAGAATGACCTGAACGAGTTGAGGAAAGCGGTGGTCGACAGGGCCTCTGAGAACAACTCATCCAATGAACTTCAAGAGGGCTACAACCTGCTGCTGAATCAGCTCAAAGGGGCCAATGAGGAGCTGGATGTGCGCAAGGAGGAGGTCCTCATGCTCAAGACCCAAATCGTGAACTCCACGAGGCAGTCAGAGAACATAAACCACATTGTGAGTCTGAAAACATCACCACCGGTGGCCGACAGGGCCTCTGAGAACAACTCATCCAATGAACTTCAAGAGGGCTACAACCTGCTGCTGAATCAGCTCAAAGGGGCCAATGAGGAGCTGGATGTGCGCAAGGAGGAGGTCCTCATGCTCAAGACCCAAATCGTGAACTCCACGAGGCAGTCAGAGAACATAAACCACATTGTGAGTCTGAAAACATCACCACCCCTCAGTCGACATTTTATAAATTTGACCTTTGTGGGCTTCTGATCCAGTTTTTTTTACAGCTGTTGTCTTACCAAATGAAGCTATTGTAGTATGTCATCAGACTTTCTAATCCATTAGCATCCCATCAGGCTTCAGTGGAGGTGCCATGAATGGAAAGCTTCTTTATCTTTTATAAAAGCAATCAGACACGGAGACATTGCATGGGATAAGATGGGATATAATGGGCTTTGATGGAGCTCAGAGTAATTTAAGTTCAGGGAAAGTTCAGCGTAATAACGATGGTGTGTCTGAGCTTTACAAAACCTGCACTGCTAGTGAAAATGGCTTTACCTGCCTGTCTGAATCTGCTGAGTTTGACAAATCATTGTCAGCATTGGTTATGCACGAAAAGAAAGCTCTTTTTCTCGTACTTGGCGTTATAGGGATGATGTATAAATCTCAGATGATGTATAAATTTCACTTTCGATAAAATTGACCCTTATGACTGGTTTTGTGGTTCAGGGTCACATTTGTATAACTTTTATGAGTAGCTGAAATGGAGTGTCCATAAGACAAAAAAGTATTTTCTTAAAGAATGCTTCAATACATAAAAATATCTGTAAACATACACTTGTTGTTTCCTATTGATATATTTGTTTCATTCAAACAGGATTCCAATGATGTATCAGAATGGACCAACAACAAGAAGCCTGTGGACGCGGTGGACACTGTTGATGCACCTGATTTAAAGAAGTAAGTCAGTCCAATCTACATAATGAAAGGCTTTCATCAGCTCTCCTCCACGTGCTTATTTGTCTTTTTTAATGAAGATTGAATCCAGTGGTATTGACTGTTCATTTGAGTTCAGAGCAGCTCTCTGATTCAGCTCTTCATGCTCTGTCTACTTTCATTTACAGCAGTATATCTCTGTTTTCTGACCCACATTACTGGAGATCTAATCACTTCTCATGAATTAGCATAGTGCTGCCTCAAACAAGCATTCACAGTCTCAAAGCTCATATTTTAAAAGTTATCTGCAATATTTCTATCAAATTTATAGACCACCACCACTGGCTCATGGCGAGTTGGAGACAATTTACTGGCCATGCATATTTTTATGCCATGAAACTTTATTTTGCATTCATACAAGTTCAAAATTTGTATTAAAAAATAGTTCCTTTTATATTTTTATATTCTGTTGCACTACAATGTCATGTCTAATGATCTAAAACAAAGGTGAGCTTTAAAGATAACAGAGAACATAGTGACGACAATGATTTTTTATTTCTTGGTAGAAATTGAGTTATAAATTGGAAAAAAATGACACATTTTTATACTTTCCACTAACTTAGGAACCACACACAGGATTGTGGGATATTATGAATTAGCATAGTGCTGCCTCAAACAAGCATTCACAGTCTCAAAGCTCATATTTTAAAAGTTATCTGCAATATTTCTATCAAATTTATAGACCACCACCACTGGCTCATGGCGAGTTGGAGACAATTTTCTGGCCATGCATATTTTTATGCCATGAAACTTTATTTTGCATTCATACAAGTTCAAAATTTGTATTCAAAAATAGTTCCTTTTATATTTTTATATTCTGTTGCACTACAGTGTCATGTCTAATGATCTAAAACAAAGGTGAGCTTTAAAGATAACAGAGAACATAGTGACGACAATGATTTTTTATTTCTTGGTAGAAATTGAGTTATAAATTGGAAAAAAATGACACATTTTTATACTTTCCACTAACTTAGGAACCACACACAGGATTGTGGGATATTATAGGCAGCAAATGATACTTCTAAAACCAACTAGATGAAGGGTTTTGCAGATTTTAGGTGCAGCCATGGAGTTTTAGTGAATTAAAACATTGCTACTTCTTAAAGGTAAATTTTAACTAAAAAGTAAATGGTGATTTAAATCACGTCACAACAGTTTGGGGGCACTAAGATATATTTTTTTTGATTAATACTTTTATTCAGCAAGTATTCATTAAACTGATCAAACGTGACAGTAAAGACTTTTATAACGCTAAAAGGAAATGTATATTTTAAAAAAACAGTCTCCAAACTTTTAAACGGTAGATCAACGAGGGTCAGACTATCGTTCTCACAGTTTGATTTAAACTACATTTTAAATTGCAATTCCATATAAGGTTACTGACCAGCTGGCAAGTACATTTTTTATAAACTCGCAAAAACTACGTTTGCCCCCTTTTGGCACTTACTGAGTGTTTATTTTGGACTCTAAATAGTGTATTAAAAAAGTGCCACAGTACAGTCCATTTAAATTTTCATCTCTGGCTTTTTATATTTTTACCTCTGGCCAGTGCACTGTTCCGTCTGAACCTTCATAACTGTTCTATATCCATCCAGGCTGTTCTGAGTTCAGGACACTTTCTCTCTGTCACATTTTTAAAGGGGTCTTTTAAAACCGAGAGTGGCAGATGTTAGATGAGGTACTCATTACCTGTGAAAGAATAAATTTTCGCACTCTGTGGTCTCAGGACTGGGCACTTTAAACAGCAGCTGATTTCTCATGCATGCGTTTTTCCTCCTTTCTCTATTTCTCATTTCCTTTGAGTGCCACATCTCCTTACAGACATTGCTTGGGCAGGCAGCTCACCTAAAAAAAACTGAAACATTATATCCCCAAGAAATAGCCAAAGTCATAGCAGCTACATGACCTCTTTACTTGAAGATAACATGGATGAAATGGAGATGGGTAATTCAGATGTGCCCTCATGCTCAAGCTGACGTCTACACAGACTAATCTAACCTGCCATGCCTTGCTTTGCTTCACTAACTGGCCCTGCCATCTTATCATTCTTCTCTTTTGCTTTCTCTCCTGTCTGTCTGCTGCCGCTTCTCTGTCTCTTTGGCTCTCCGTTACTCGGATGCCAGTAAAGCACAAGACTGGGTTTATTTGAATGAAGATGGGGAGCTTGGCCTGGCCTACCAGGGTCTAAAGCAAGTTGCCAGGTTGTGCTTTAAATTTCTTGGATTTCCCTCCAGGTTTAACTCTGGGTTTCGATTTCGAGGCCCCTGTTTTTGTTTTTCAATCAGTAAAGGACAATCGGGCATATATTGACTTTTGTCACCTTTGAGAAGTGTTTTGAGGACTAACTGAAGTATATAGACAGTTTACACTCACTTATACTATAGTGTGGCATGTTTGGATGTGTTCAGGCTGCTGGAGGCCCAGCTTCAGACGAAGTCTCGACAGCACAAGGATGAGTTAGAGGCTCTCCACACGCAAATCGAACTGCTGAAGGACAGTCTGGAGAAGAAGCAGGAAATGCTGGACCACTTTTCTACACTTTCTCCTGAAGCTCTGGTGGAGTTCAGCGTGCAGCAGGAGATCACGCGCCTCACCAATGAAAACCTAGTGAGACCTTATCTTAAGTATAATTTTTGTAATCAGTATTATTGTCTTATTTATTATTAGTATTTTATTTATTTATGATTTAAAAATGTCCTTTAAACAAGATCAATAGTATTTTCAGAGAATTGATTTTGAATGAAGCATATTTTTTCTTACCTTATTAGCTAATTGTTTGTGTTGCTTTAAGCATAAATCTCTGAATTATGTTAGATTTATGGTAAAACAAATAAACTGTTTGCCATTGGGATAAGAAAAATAAAACAAGCAATCTCAAAAAAAAAAATGTTGTAGTCAGTTTTGCTAAAACATATCTTGTTTTAAGAATATTTACATATTTTGACTTGAAAACAAAACAGTTATTTTTAAATGAGCCTTCAAACTATTAGCCAGCCATTGGTTCAAGAGCTGTAAAGTATCATTATACCCAACACACAATATTGACATTCTCACTCAAGTTGATGATTGTTCTCTAGGATCTAAAGGAACTTGTCGAGAAGTTGGAGAAGAATGAGAAGAAGCTGAAGAAGCAGTTGAGGATCTATATGAAAAAAGTGCAAGAGCTGGAAGGTTATACATCTGCCTATCATCTGTCTGTGTATTGAATGTTTTCTCGTGGTACCGCTATTTTCTGATGTGCTGTTGTTCTTCATACAGTGTCTCAGGCCACTAGGAGCAGACCAGAGCTGACTCGTCAGGTCACCGTACAGAGGAAAGACAAGGACTTTGAAGGCATGCTGGAGTACTACAAAGAAGATGAGGCTTTGTTGGTCAAGTCATTAATTACAGGTATGTGTGGTTACATGCAGGCATGTTTTAATGTGGAGGTCCTGTAGCTGTGATAAACACACAGGTCTTGTGTTTAGACATGAAGCCCAATGTGGTGTCCGCCACTGTCCCCTGCCTCCCTGCCTACATCCTCTTCATGTGTATCCGTCATGCCGACTACATCAACGACGACCAGAAAGTTCATTCACTCCTTACCACAACCATCAATGCCATCAAAAAGGTCCTGAAGGTATGTATATACTGTATGTAATCACATCAACACACTCCCAGAATTCAAACCAGCTACACTACTCAGACGTTTGGTTTTTTTTTAAAGAGAAATTAATACTTTTATTCAGTAATGATGTATTAAATTGATTAAAAGTTTCAATAAAGGCATTTATAATGTTACTAAAATGTTCTATTAACATAAATGCTTTTCAGCAAATAATCCTGGAAAATACGTATGATGGTTTCCACCACATTATTAAGCAGCACAACTGTTTTTCAACATTGATAATAATAAAGAAAAGTTTTTTGAGCACCAAATCATGTTAGAATATATAAAAAAGAAAACAGTATTTTAATTAAAATAATATTCCATCATTCCTGTTTTTTTTTTTATCTTCTCTCCAGAGAAACAGCGATGACTTTGAGATGACCTCCTTCTGGCTGGCAAATACCAGTCGACTTCTGCATTGTCTGAAGCAGTACAGCGGGGATGAGGTGAGATTTTACTGTGGCTATTTGATCTTGTCCAGTGATGATTTCAGCTGCAAATATAAGAGTCAGTTCCATGTACTGTATTTTAACATATTAAGTACAGATAATGCGTGAAAAGTGTGGTTTTAAGCCTCTGGCGACCCCGTCTAGATCACTGGTATGATTTGGCTGTTGCTTCCTGTCATAGGCGTTTATGACGCAAAACATGGCCAAGCAGAACGAGCACTGCCTGAAGAACTTTGACCTGGCCGAGTATCGGCAGGTTCTGAGTGACCTTTCCATCCAGATCTATCAGCAGCTCGTCAGAATAGCGGAAGGCATCATGCAACCCATGATTGGTGGGTACAGAGAGACACCGGACCAATATAAACACTAATAATGGAATTGTTTGCACATTCTGATATTTCATAATGAATGCATGTTTTTTGTGTTTGATTTTGGCAGTTTCTGCCATGCTTGAGAGCGAGAGCATCCCCAGCCTGGCCGGAGTGAAGCCCATGGGCTACAGGAACCGCTCCTCTAGTTTGGACTGTGAGAGTGGAGGTCCAGCGGGCTACACGCTGCAGGCCCTGGTCAAGCAGCTGGGACAGTTTTACACCATCATGGCGGACCACGGCCTGGACCCTGAGATCAGCCAGCAGGTGGTTCGCCAGCTCTTCTACTCCATCAATGCAGTGACCCTGAACAACCTGCTGCTGCGCAAAGATGTCTGTTCTTGGAGTACCGGCATGCAGCTCAGGTACACATTTGATGCTCTCGGGCAAATCCGTGGCTGTGTTATATCTTCAGAAATGTCTGATGAATGTAACGGCCGTCTCATTGGTGTCGTTTCAGGTACAACATCAGTCAGTTGGAGGAATGGCTGAGAGGAAAGAATCTGCACCAGAGTGGAGCCGTAGCCACCATGGAACCTGTTATCCAGGCCGCCCAGCTGCTGCAGGTGAAGAAGAAGACCTCCCAAGATGCAGAGGCCATTTGCTCGCTCTGTACCGCCCTCAGCTTACAGCAGGTAGACATTTGCCATTCATTCTTTCTTTATTCATTATTTTTTATTTTCATTGACTTTTCATTGACTTAATCATGCTATTCTACTTCACCTCAGATTGTGAAGATCCTCAACTTGTACACGCCACTCAATGAGTTTGAGGAACGAGTGACTGTGTCTTTCATAAGAGACATACAGGTAAACTACATACACACTATGGACATACACTTGCTAGGGTGTACCAAAATTTGAGTAGTCCGTACCAAAATCAGTAAAACTCTTTCACCACAACAAAAATAATATTCTGCTGAACACACTCTTACCTAAAAAGTTTAATATTAACTAATTCAGTATATAATTAATATTAAGTAATTTCATTTATTTAATAGATATAGTATAGATTAATATTATACACCACTGTTCAAAAGTTTGTGGTTGGTTAGGTTTATGTTTTTGGAAGAACTCTCTTATGTTCAGTGTCCAAGGCTGCATTAATTTGATCATTGTGAAATATTATTTGTTTAAAGTAACCGTTTGAATATATTTTCAAATGTAATTTATTTCTGTGATGCCAAGCCTGGATTTTCAGCATCCATTACTCCAGTCTTCAGTGTCACATGATCCTTCAGAAATCATTCTAATATGCTGATTTGCTGCTCAAGAGCCAATTCTTGTTATTATCATGTTGAAAACAGTTGTGCTGCTTAATATTTTTGTGGAAACTTTTCAGGATTCTTTAAATATAAAGTTCAGCATTTATTGAATAGACAGAACAGCATTCATTTAAAATAGAAATATGTTGTAACATAATGTCTTTATTGTCATTTTTGATTCATGCATTCTTGCGGAATAAAAATATTAATTATTATTATTATTATTAATAATAATGATAATATATTATTATTTTATATATTTATATATTATTATTATTCTATTATATTGTTATAAAGTTAGTATTGTCGTGTTACTGAAAAATCTGTATTTTCTGCAGTGTTTGATGGCTTCTTTATGAGCATGTCCAATAAATACTCTCATTTCCTTTCACAGAATCGCCTCCAAGATCGTATAGAAAACAACCAACTGCTGGTAGACACGAAGTACACCTTCCCTGTGCTCTTCCCCTACACTCCATCAGTGCTCAGTCTGGAAAACATACACATCCCTGCCTCCCTCAGCCTGGACTTCCTCACACGGGTCTGACATCTCAGTCTCTCGGTCTCACTCTGAGCTCTACCGAGTCAGACCTGCGGCCTGCAGCGGGCCCGTCGCAGATCTGCTAACCCACATATTAACACCACCATACATACGGGATTTACAGTATCCACATTTAACAAGACGGACAATCTCCATGACCGACTAACTGTGGTGTTGAGACACGCTTTCAATAAGGGGGATACTAAGTCTAAATGATGCAGGTGTAAATAAGCTTTGACTTTTCTTCTATAACATTCAACCAGTTCTCTCTAGGCTCCCGTTTAATACAAGCAAGGCTATTGTTATAGAAAGTTAAAACACTATATTTGGATTGGGATTTGTTTGTCTGTGACTAATTCTTATGATTAAATAAGTTTAATCTAAATTAAATAAAAGGGTTTTGGGCTACTGACATGAAACACTAATGCGAGATGTATGTGTCCGTACTCATGTGTCTGTATTAGTATGCACTGATTTCTTTGTGTTTGTAATGGAAAAGTGTCTTTTATTTCCCTTGCTTGTGCTGGAGCACAGTTTCATCTCGTGGGCTCCCACTGAAGCAACACAGCCATCTCCATTTTTTTTTTTT